GTATAATGGGTGCAAGTGGTGAAATAGGACAATCATTAGCACGTACATGTAAACATTTTGGTATGTACGTTAAAGGATTAGCTAATTCACAACAAAACACAAATGAATTTGTTGATGAATGGTACCAGAGTATTCCAACAACTGCAACATTTGGTATTCCTCGTGAATTTTTAATTAATCTTGACTACTTAATATCAACTTTGCCATCAACATCACAAACAAAAAATATGTTATCTGGTGACGTACTATCAGTATGTAATGGTTCAAATACGGTATTTATTAATATTGGTAGAGGTGATATTATTGACGAACAATCATTAGTCAATGCATTAAATAACAATTATATTACACATGCTATTTTAGATGTATTTATTGATGAACCATTACCTGTAACATCTAGATTATATGATTTAGGTACAGACAAAATACAAATAACACCACATTTTAGCGCATCACTCTCAGTTGCTTCATACGATATTGCACAAATATTTATTCAGAATTTAAAACGATATATAAATGGTGAATCATTGCTGTTTGTTGTAGAATGGAAAAAAGGTTATTAAACATGCGCTCGATTACTGATCTTTAGTTATAATAAATGGTGATGGGTTAAATGACCATGTCCCGAACTCACCTTCCACAAAGAAGATATATGAAAACCGTTTTGACATAATGTAGTAGAAATAGTAGTCACAGTGCAAAAATACTTACTCATAATTTGAAGTTTATTCATTTTAAATTTTGTTTTTATGATGATGTTCAAAAGGGTGTCGTCTCAGTTCGTCCCAAATTGGCTTTGTAAGATGAAACAACATCAAAGGGGCGAGCAGGTGTGAGAGTGAGCAATTTGGGACGAACTGAGAGTAAACCGTTCAAAAGAGATATAGCATAATATAATTAAAAACTGTAAAGTCAAATCAAATTAAACTCATCGCATATAGTCCATAATATAAAAGAAAAAAGTAATAGCTATTCTCTTGGTTTAGAAGAATCAGATAACAATAATACAATCGCCCAAGCAAATAAAAAGTATCCAGTATTGGGCAACCCTACCTAGGTAACCCAATCCAATACCCCATATAGCTAGATACAAGTAAAAAGACAGTATTGAGTATTGGACAATCCAAACTAGTTAACTCAATAAAGTAGTCGATATATATAAATAATCCAATATCTTACCGGATTCTGGATATTAGATTTACCACGTGTCTAAGTAAGACGTCTTGTGACGAGATAGCTGGAAAGATCTATTTTATGTCAGAAATATTCTACTTTCTTCAATCAATTAGAAATTAAAGTCATTAGAATGATCCCACTACTGTAAAAACAAAGATGTATAGATAAAGCAGAGCAGAGATATCAAAATATTCTAATTTCTTCAGTTTTGAATACTCGGTTGAACGGTATATAATTTGAAACTTCGGTAAAAACACTTACAAGTTATAAATAAAATATTAAGGTATACATCTTTTAGTGGTTTATTGGACACGAGAAAAGTTTTATAACTTTACAAGAAAAATATGCAAAATTACTTAACTTTTCAGCATTAAAAAATACAGACAAGTTCCTCTACGGGCGCCAAGGACAGACACTGATGAGAAAAGATTGTAGTATACCGCAGGACTGACACAGGGAAGAAAATCCTTTTTTTAGTTCCACCCAATAAAATCGTGCCAGATCTCGAAGGAAAAAAACTTGCTAACTACCCTGTGAGAATTTTCCGTGTAAAACACCCTTTCTTTTCTCCAGATAAAATCCTATAAGCCTTCCGGAGTCAACGTAGTGAGATAACTTTTGTGATGCAAACGATAAAAGATAGGAAAAAATTCCTCAGGATTAGCACCATGAATAATCCTGCGAAATACGCCTGACAGACACACGAAAACGTTTCTGTAGGATGTATGTGATAAGAATCCTGTAGAATCCTCCACGAAAAATTCTGAAAAGTAAGTAAGTTGCAGGATATGCTTAACAACGTGAAAAAATATTTTCTGAGAAAAAAATTCCAAAATATGCCAGACATCCACAGAATTTTTGCAAACTTCTGCGTGCTAATGCAGGCCGTCAAAATATTTTTTCCAGTGGGCGAGGAGTACTGCGAAGGTTTAGGAAAAATTTTGAAATTAGTTATTTTCCGGATAATGCGCATAGTGTTTATGACTGATCTTAAATAATCCGCATTAATTCATAAAACATCGTATCAAAACAAAGGTATAGTCTCATTTTTTTCTTAAAATGAGCGTCAAAGTGGCGAGCTTGATATTCTCAACATTTATCGTTGCTGAGATCACGATATTACGGATTGTTCAAGAGTCACTAACCGATGAACAATTCGAATTATGAACCATTAAATTTTTTAAGGTGAAAAATTTGAAAAAACTCAAAGTTTTTGAAACCTGGAAACCGCTTATTTTGTAAAAAATGAGCGTAAATTTCTCATGTACTGGTTTTGGTAATTATGAAACATTTTTATGCTTATTCTGCGTGAAAAACTGTATCTAAAAAATATACTTTTGATGTTACTCAGATATATATGGCCCTGAAAATTGATCCTTCACTATCACAGTCATTGATAATATTTATTTTATCTTTCCTTTTAGAAGATACAAGTATCGATGAAACGTTAAAGGTTTATTTTACGGAAGATATATATAAATAACTATCAAAAGCATTTTTATTTTTAATTTCTAACGTTTGAGACAATAAAAAACATAATTTATTCTTGTAATTTTTATTTTATCTCTAACCTTCTTTTCTTTTCTTCTAACTGATTTAAAGCGGCAAAACATCGAATGAATAACCATAAATATATTGTTAATCTTACAACGCGACTCGCAAATGATGGAGGCAGCTCCTGCGATAGCTCACCGAATCAACTTGTTCAAGCTTTTTTACGATAATTATTTCGATTTGCTCGTCCTCTCGCTACCAATAGAAACTAAGGAAGTTTGGCGGTTTCATTTTGGATCTGGTAGACACCTTGTTGCTAAGTACTAGACTTCCATGTTCGGCTTAATTACTATCGATTTCAGGTTCAGTCGATCCAACCTAGAACTAAAATCATCGTTTCTCAGAAATGAATGATGTTTATCTTCCTATTTGTGCAGACATCTTATAACATACTTTCTGTAGTTAGTACCGATGGTTTTTGATTGCTGCTGCTGTCACTTCTCGATACAGTTGCAGTTTATAATTGTGTAGGTGTTGCCATTCTTCCAGGAGATGTGAATAAAATAGGTGTTATCAAACGTCCTGTTTGTGCTACTTGTGCTGTTGTTGAACTATAAATTCTTGTGGACATTGTTTGTCATGCATATGAAGTGAAAATAAAAAGTCGACTTTCTTAAGGAATAAGCTCTAACTTTGTGAAAAATATTGTTCGTTCTTTCAGATAATAATAAAAGTGAAATTTGTCAGCTGACATTTGAAAAACGAACCAATCTCGACACTTCATTCAAACATTGTTATTATCTGAGAGAATAAACAATATTTTTCACAAAGTTAGAGCTCATTCCGTCTGGCGCTAAGAAAGTCGACTTTTTATTTTCACTTCATATGTTCCGGTTGTATAGACAAAGTGTGTGAGACATTTGTAGACTTAAAACTAACCGATTAAGAAAATTCTTTTTCTGTGGTTATTTAATTCCTTTATCATATGCCTCCTCTCACTTCTGTTCCAATAAAATTTGGTTTTCTTTTCTACATTCAGCAAGGTCTGATTCTAGTCTCTTTATTTCATCTAAATGCATCTAAATATTTTCTATATCCCACAGTTTTGGATGAGATACTTCAGTTGCTGCTGTGGTTGTTGTGATCTAAATAGGAATTGATCCATATGACACACACCACCACCACATCGACATCCGGCGTAAATGACGAGACGTATTTCACTTTGTAGAATTCGAATATGAGCTGAACCGAATGATGAAAGCCATTACGACCATTGGTTGTTTGATTGTTCTTTTCTACCCTTTAACTTGAAAAATGCTCGCTGTTATGAACACTGTGACTCGTGATATATAGCATGTTGTCACAGCTCGAATCTCAAATACACTAGTACGATTGCAGAACCTTACTTTATTAGCCCGATTCACTACTAACTGGCATCTTAACATTGTAACCAAGTCTAACTCGTCAACATCATCTTGTCTTAATTGTGATGCATTTCTTTGCGGTAGTAACTTTTGCTGGGATTCTATATACAAACTGTGAGCGTAGGAGAAAGCACCAAAAGTAAAAAGTTAGATAAATAGTTTAAAAGAACGATTTAGAAATTGACATACGGTTTTCTGTTTTCAACAATTTAGTTTTTCCTATCATCTTCGTTTTTTCCATACCAGCGTGCGACTACACCACAATTGTAAACGGCCATGATGATCAACGCGAACCATTCAATGAAGACTGAACTCAAGACTGCTCGTGTTTTATGTGCCTCTTGTAAATTAGCAGCAATAATCAAATTATAGAGTTAAAGTCAGATACTTTAGTTCCGTATTTTAATTTTAAAATTTAAATAAATTAAAATTAAAATACGGAACTAAAGTATCTGACTTTAACTCTATTATATATCTAATCCGTATCGACCAATAGTTATACTCTCAATAATCAAATTCTCCATGTGGGGTAACGACTTTTGAAGGAAAAATGAAATAACGAATGGAGCTGTTTTAAATTTTATTAAATGAATGAAATTTAAAACAGCTGCATTCATTATTTTATTTTATACCAGCAATACTGATTGATGATAAAATTGAGCTGGTGGCCAGTGAAAATGTGGATGCAAATGGTCCCAAATTAACCTAGTTGCAAATATTCGCGACCACCATATTCTGTTAATTGTTCAGTTTGTCTTACGACCTAAAATAATTCTTAATTAAAAATTATTATAGAGCTGGTATATGTTTCTCCGTAGACGGTTTACACTGGTTTCATATTGAATATTTCGATCTGTAACACCTCCATCATCAAGTCCCTCTAATCAATAAAAACGGTCGGGAGAGCACGTTTGTCTGGAAATCTTTCCTTGATATTACTTTTTACTATTTTACACCGGAGATGTAAAACATGGGTTCGTATTCTTATTCCTTCTCGTTTTCTGTCAGATTCAGTGAAATTACTTCTACTGTGTACGTTACCTTTACAGAAAACTGCAAAAGTAAATTATTCACTTTCTGCTTATATCCTGTAGAACCGCTGAAGTTGTGTAATCACTGTGCCTACAGGTGTCTAGCGACATCTAAGTATTACTTATCATACAGTGACGTCCATATGTAACACATCGTTACGATTCAATACTTTTTAAACAGAAGTACGCATGACAAGTAATATCAGATGTCGCTGGATAATGCAGGCACGTCGATTGCACAACTTCAATCGCTCTACAGGATATAAACAGGGAGTGTACAGTTTACTTTTGCAGTTTTCTATAAGGGTGAAATGTGTATTTTTCTGCGTGTTACTAGTAGAAGGATTGTTGTTGTGTGTTTAACGAATTTCAGATTCAGAAACAATGAAATGAACAAATAATAAAATGAATGCGCGTAGTGGTTTAATAACAAACACTGTAACTACGATCGCCACATGCAATTTATGTTTCATATCAATATTACGCACCATTTTCTAAATGAAATGAAACTGAATTCTGCAGAATGAGTAGTACACAAAAGTTTTCTGAAGAACCTTTTTCTGGTTTTCTTGGAAAAAAACGGGCTGTTGCTAGAACCATTTTGCGTACTGCTGCATGTCCAAGAAAGCAACACATATTGTGCTTTAAAATACCGGCTTTCATTTTGCTTGCAAAATGTTTCGTGTTTATCAACACCATGGAACAGAGAAAAACTTTTTGGCTCATCAAATTTGTTTATGAGATGAACTATTTTATTCATAAGTTTTTGTTCTTGATTATGAAAGAAAATTTAGATGTATATCTGAATTTGACTGAGAAAAGTAGGTTATAGCATGCGAGGATGGCAACTACAGTATGCTATACGGAACACTATTTATTTTACTTACCCTTTAATTTCTGATATGTAGAAACAATAATTCATAATTATAATTCGAATTTATTGTGCAATCGACTAACTTATATTTCGACTTGTCAGAAAAATACCCGTTTTCTGTTAATCAGACGATTATGTTTAGTGTTGAACACACGCGACTAGAGTCACATTGAGATGACTATACAGTGATAGCGGACGATACGTTGTTTATTATTACATGTACCCATGTAAATATTTTTCAATCGAAGACGCGTCTGAAAACACGTTTTATGCTGCGTTTAATCGCTCAGAAAATGCACCATTTGCTAGCGTTTAAATGTGCTTTTTCATTTTTTACAATATACTTTCAAAAAGTTTGTTTAGGCGTGTTTTTAATTCCTAGTTAATGTTTCATTGTCTATTAGCCAGTAGAGTGTGCGTCGATATCAGAAAAGCTTGACATACTAGAAAGAAGTGTATGTTAGATGACAGTGCCACCGATGGGATTCGATCGTGGTACCTATGAATAGAAAGACAAATACATACAAGTAACTTACCAACTCAACTAACTGAGCTTAGTGTATGCTTTGTACTTTGTCAATGTGTACTTTTACATGGATAAAGAATAATAAAATACATATTCGTCTAAAAATACTGCTCTGAAATCGAATAGCGGCAAAGTAGATTAGCAAAAAAGCAGAATACATTTTTCTCCATGTATTGTTACAGACGAGATTTTTCATGAATAGCAAACTGGTATCTGTTCAGAGTCGAAAAACGTTGGTAGTTAGGTAGGCCTCATAAAAACACGTAACCCGTTTGCTTTCAAATTTCGTTGAAATAATGCACTGAAAAATGTTTGGAAATTTGAATTCGCACAGATATTATAAATACTCATAAAAATTATTTTTTTACGTGCAATGTTTCTTTCTGTCTATAATCGCATTTAAGTTAGAGATCATTCGTCAAGAATATGCAGAAAAGGATAACTGCTAAAGCTCATAGCGTTACGAGATATTAGGCTATGGTTGATTAGATTATAAAAGCACCACGATCGCGTTCCCTTGCACTGATGATGTACTTAGAATAAAGTAGGAAACGTCTCAAAATGCTTAAAGCGGTGTGTATTGTTCTCAGCTTCATTATTAAGTGTATTCACCGTATCCACAAAAATCAAAATGATTCAGTTATTAACGCCATAAAGAAGAATGGTGCACTTAGTTTACAATTATATAGACTGTTAGAAGGTGTAAAACTGAAACAATGTAGATTAGAACAGGCTATCGACTTTATACGTGTTTGTCTCTTATACAATGTTTATCCAAAATTCATTCGATTTAAGCCTTATAGTAGAGAATTTGGTAAAAGTCCTAAGTATAAAGAATACATGAGAAAAATGTTATTCGATCATTTTAAAGAACAACAGAAACAGCTTAAGAAGTAGCAATTAGATTACTATGAGAAAATATTCACAGCTAACCGTTATCCACTCAACGTGATCAAAAAAACGATTAGAGGAATTAGACTAGGAAAGATTACTACAAAACAACCTATGAAGTCAACAAAGAAAGACGTCTTCGTATCTATGCCATTTTATGGTCAATGCTCTGTGATCCTAGCCAAAAAGATTAAGAAAATTCTCGAAAATCCAATGAAAGAAATTGTATTTGTATTTGCTGCTGAGACACGTATATCAACCTTATTCAGTAAGAAATCTCGTACAGAGAAAGATATGAACAAAGTGGTTTATCGATATGACTGTAAAGACTGTAATGGAGTGTACGTTGGACAAACTTCTCGTGGTGTTGAAATTAGAAAAGAAGAACATATGAAGGCATTTCGTGGTCAAGGACACTCAAGAATTGCTGATCACTGCTTGAGTTTGAAACATGAGAATGACTGGCAACATAAGGTTATCGCAATTGAATCGAATGATACTAAACGTACAATCAAAGAAAGTTTACTGATGCACCTAATAAAGAAAAAGTCAGGAAAGGACGTGTACTCTCAGCAGAGCTTTGAATTGAAATTTTGGATAATCATGTAGAGACAGACACATTTCTCAGGAGTTTAAAAATTTTAAGAAGAAATGTACTCATTTAGACGTCTAAATGAGTAAAGTTTATTTCATATATTGTTCTATCGGTCTTGTTTCGTTTTCCTATATATTTAACTGTCCTTTTTTAATTGTAACGTCATTTGACTGACGATGTACTTAGAATAAAGTACGAAACATCTCAAAATGCTTAAAGTGGTGTCTATTGTTCTCATCTTCATTATTAAGTGTATTCACCGTATCTACAAAAATCAAAATGATTCAGTTCTTTTTATTTGTTCAAGTAACTTGATAACTGTTTTAAAATGTGTCAATGCCTGGTGGTATGTGCGCTGTGCGAGGAGTGCATCTGCTATCATGAGACAAATGCATTTCAGAACAGGCGGTAAAGTTCATTGAAAGTCAATGGATGAAATTTTAAAATTTCAGCAAAAATTGGTGCATTGAAAATTGGATGCATTGATATCTGAACCAGCAACAACAAGGAACAAGAGAACACTTGATGATATGAACGAAGAACAAAATGAAACTGAATAGAAATAAGTAACTATGTCCGTGTGAACTATCAAGCTTGTTATTCATTCGTTATTTATGATTAACATATACTGATGACAATATTTTGTTTTTTTCGTCAGTACCTCCACTATAACAGTTCCAAATGCTCATTAATTGCCTTTCTTTCTCCTTTGTTGACTATCTTCTGCTACGGCTGTCATATTAATACTGGTTTAATAGATAAGATTTTATTTACTCAAGAGAGCAGGATATCACAAAAAAGAACAAGAGACTTGTGGCATCCGTGGATACCCTGTGATAACCTAAAACTAAAAATTTAAAAATATAAAAAAGTAAATTAACATTTATCACATATTTCTGCTACGTTTTTTCTTATTTTTGTGTAACTGTTTGTGCGTATGGTATGATTCATGATGACATGAAATCTCTTTTATTATAACACTGAAATAACTTGTTTAGATATTAACAGACTGAAAGATTAAAAAATAATTATAGGTTTTGCTGATGAAATAGCGCTGGTAACGTTTTCACTGATGTCGTTTTGTATAAGGGTTAAAGAAGTAGGGCGGATAAAGCCCTTAACTGGCCCCAGAAATTTTCATCTTTTTTGCATTGGAACCATGTCAGGTGAACATTTCCAGACACTTAGTTTCGCGAATCTCTCGGTCAGGTTTTTGAGGCCTGAGACCTCCTCCGGGATTTCTGGAGAACTTTTCTTTTTTGATTTTTTCCAAACTCACCTGGTAATATGTAATCGACCACGCTGATCACAAATACCCGTATTAGAAGTGTCCGAAACCATTTGATAAGGCGTAATCTTCAATTTACCTCAATTTTCTTGTTCCGTAGCCGAGGAAACATCGAAAAACTAAAATAGATAGTGATTCAAATGTAGAATTTTATGCTGAATCCGAATATAAAATTACCAAAATTACATGTTCTCCTGACATGATTCCAATGCAAAACAGACGAAAATTTTGGGGCCAGGAAAGGGTCTCATCCGCCCTACTCCTTTGTAGAGTTGTAGTATTGCTGATCACAGTAAGGTCGCAGTAAGCAGTAGTGACACAGAAGTAACTCAGTGGAAGAGCGCAGCCTAACGGCTGAAGGCACAGGTTCGAATCCTGTATCCTGCAATACTGTTGAAATGACAATTCTAGGTTTTTCCACATGCCGAAATATAAAATTTAGTTAGTCCTGGCTATCAGCCAGCTTTTTCAGTTTATGTCATAGATTCCGATAATCGTGCGGAAAAATCAACATTATTCTCATGCTTGCAGCTTTAAACTTCACAACAGAATATCGTATTTAAGCTCGAAATTGTTTAACTGGTTTTTAGAAGATTTTTCAAGGTATGTGATCACGCTGTTGTTAGCAGATCGCATGAGAAGCTGAGCATTTTGCACTTCGTCCGTTGATATTTTAGAGTAAAATGTTTTAGATAATATTTACACCAGAAATGCCTCGAAGAGGAACAGCTAAACGTAAGCGCATTGTTGAACGAAGACGCACAACAGTAACAGCAGTTGAATTCAAATATGCTAATGGTACGACTGTCCATAGTGTATGCAATTATAAACTTCTAACTGCTTTAATCATAATTTTTGTTCTAGGTCAGACAATAAATGACAGTGTGGCTGTGGTGTTTGTTATACAAGGGGTGATCTGTTTCATTTTAATAAATTGACACAATATAGTTTATTCAGTAAAAATCTAAATCACAGCAATGGCATTGTATGTTAATGCCATTTTCTCTTTTAGAAATTCGCCGGAAAGTATTAAAACGTAAGCCACCATTACGTGTCTATCCATACGAACAAACACCTATTTTACGTAGCAATCAAACACAGGATGAAATTCTCGCTAAAATGCGAAAAGAGAATTTGACCGATGAAAACTAAGGACATTTAGGTAAAGTAGAGTTGTAATGTTCGCCTCTCTTATGCTTTGTAGAAAGAATTCTCTTCGTTTTTTCAGAAATTGACTGTCTAATAAGTTTTCTTTGCATCTGGTTATTAATCCCTTTCCTACAGGAACGTCGCAGTAAGCAGTAGTGACGCAGGAGTAACTCAATGGAAGAGTGCAGCCTAACGGTTGAAGGCACAGGTTCGAATCCTGTCTTCTGCAATACTGTTGAAATGACAATTTTAAGTTTTTCTTATTTCAGAACTTTACAGGATGGGTCAAAAGCTTAATTCGCTTGCGTGTTTTGTCGAGCCTATGGTATATCAAGGCTCATCAATCATCAAAAAGAAAACATCTTCTATGAGTACCTCGTTGAATTCTCAAAAGAGATTTTGCGTGAATAAGAAGAAAGCAATAAACATAATCAAAAAATAACTTTTGTTTTCAATATTATTTTTGGATTTATCATTTAAAGCCATTTATGAATCCAAGTTTTTGGACTTTTGTTCTTTAACCCTTTGAGTCCCATAGTAGCAAAAAAGCTGCACATGTTTTATAATTATTTTTCACAACTTAATTTATAGAAATTAGTACGTAATCTCTTGAAATGAAGCAATGGACCATTAGCTAATAAATAGCAAATGCACTTATGTGGCACTGTCTGTAAAATAAACTGGGAGAAAACGATTTTAATAATCAAATATATTTAATTTATCTAAGAATCATATAAGTCTTCATTTTCCTTTCTTAAGGGTTCGAACTATCATTTACATCCCATTATATTTGCTGAAGTGTCAGCTTCAAAAGTATAACTCGCTTTTTTTCAAATTTGGTTTCGTTGCTGAGAAAATTCGTTTTTTCTAAATCAGTAGCGAAAAAGTCGGAATTCTGCCCATAATTCTCACTTTTCTCGATCAGAACTCAACTTTTATTTAATAAAAATATCATATTTAGAATTAGGATCAAAAACTCAGTCGATTGATCTGTATTTCGAAATTTTTAGCTGATTTCAGTTTTGGGTGAAAATCTTGATGATTTTTCAACGTGAAAATTCGAAAAAAACTAAAGTACTCGAATAGGATAGGGATACACATCAGTCGATTCATTTTTTCATCCTGATTCCGAATATGATATTTTTATTATTGCATAAAAGTTGAGTTCTGGTGGAGAAAATTGAGAATTACGAATTACATTCAAACCAGCAAAAAAAATTTGGGACTCAAGTGGTTAAGGGGGTCCCCCATTTGGTTCAACTAAACGAAAAAATTTAAGTAATAGCTCATCTGATAGAGAATCTCACGGGCTACAATACAGACCATCATAGAAGTTTTAGAATTCATTTCTGGCTGCTGAATTCTTTAATAACAGCCCGGTACTCAAAAATTTAACTATATTTTTTCTCAGCCAGATTATGCCAGTAAGCCGAAAAAACTTCAGGACATATACTTCAACGTATTCTTTACAAACTCGGTAGGCTTGAAGAAAAAATTCAAAATTTAAAGATATCGCTGGTTTTGGGCACAGCGAAGATTTTTTTATCTCTCCTTGCGGCTAATTTCGTTTGAAGCAAGCATTTTGATGCAAAACTGTGAGTACGAAAGTTGTTCAGAATCGAATTCTGCAGTACATCACGAGAGGTTTTTTAAAATTGTCGTTTTTTGATTTTTAAATTAAGTTTTACGGTTTTTGAAGTTTTAAAAATTTCGTAGGTCTCAATTTAAAAAACAAAAGGACAATTTTGATAAAACCTCTCGTGATGTACTGCAGAATTCGATTCTGAACAACTTTTGTACCCATAGTTTTGCATCAAAATGCTTGCTTCAAATGAAACTAGCCGTGAGGTGAGGTGAAAAACACTTTTAGCTCTGAAACTTTCTCGGAAAGGTGAAGGTTAAATTCCTGCGTCAAATTTCATTCAGAAACGATGAAAAATGTTTCTCCTTATACAAGTTAATGTTCTGTATGGAACTATGCCAGAATCAACTGTTCATGTCAAAAGATGAAGTTTTCATTGAAATTTTAGAAAAAGGCCACAAAACCGAAAAAAAACTTCAAAAGTCTTTTTATCAAAAAACACAAATCGGGGAACCGAAAGGTTTGTCGAGACATATACTCCGAAGTGTCCTCCAAAAACTGGTGGAAAAAACCGGGTAGGGGAATCCTCCTTAAGTAATACAATTTTTAAATATTGTCTCTTTAAAAACCGTATAGTTTTTTATTTAAACATATTGAATCATATATGAGTTAAAAGAGCGAGAGAAAATGAATAATAAGTTTTGCGTCCGTAGTCTCCTCAGACAATAGAAACGGATAGAGAGAATTGATCTCAACTAAAGATGGTTCGACCCTGATCCTCGAAAAGCAATGTTCCCACTTGTTCTGCCAGAACACTACCCAGAAAACATCTTTCGTCAACAGAATTTGCATCTTACTCTTTTTTCGATTAACTGAAGATTCCACAAAAAAAGAATCCATCTTATACAGCATTTCTCATGCAGACTCTTTCTCCTGGATTCTACCTTGTCATTAAGAATTATTTTAGCATCTATGTTAGATTAACGATGATTGTTCTCGTTATTGTAGCATTTTGTGAGTTTCGTCGGCTTAAACATTTTGATGTAGGCCAGTCCTGGCTGCTTGACGATCTTCATACGTATTATGAAGGTGTTATGAGAAAACTATTAACACTTTGATTAGATGTAAAGTATCGTATGCAACCATGGTCAATACGTTCAAAATTAGACAAGCTTCAACTTATGTTAGATAATTTACGAATGGCAAATACAACTTCTCGTCGTCCATGTCGTATAGCTATTTATAATAGCTATAAAACTAGTGAATTTAAAGCTATCGTCCATTTCGGTTTCTCGGCGTTTCAAACTATATTAAAATCAAAATATTATAATAATTTTTTAAAATTTGTTTATGCAATGAATATCGGTAATGGGGATAAGACGATAAAAGATGATGCTTCAACAGTTGAATTATTAATGAATGAATTTGGTTTTGAGTTTGAAAATTTATATACAACACGTCATTGTAGTTCAAATATTCATTCAATGCAACATGCGCATTTATCAATACAATATATCGGTCCATTTTTTACGTATTCGACATTTTTTTTCGAAAGTATCAACCGGATTTTGAAATCTTTGGCTCACGGAACCATCGAGCATTCGAAACAATTGATCAAAAATCTTGAGTTATTTCGTACATCTATTATTCATTATGATTCGCCAATATATCCTCGTCTATTGTCTAATTTATGTGAACAACTATTGAATGAAAAAAAAGCAACAATGAATAATACGGTCAATCTACCTAAACCATCTCAATTTACATATCATTCATATACTGATTTTCTCTCTGGAATATTCGGTTTGGGTAATATAACATTTTATGATACAATTTATTATAATAATACCCGTTATGAAATAAATATTCAACATTCGCGTAAAACAGACGATTCATGTATTATGTTTAATCAATTGAATTCAGCTGAGATGCATTTAGGTTTTGTTTCAGCTATCATAACACTGGATAATAATAATGAAAATATTTATTTTTTAATGAACAAAATAGTAATAAAGCGTATGTTTAAAATTAAACTTTTAAATCAAACTGAAATATTTTTATCAAATTCATGGATTTGTTTAGTTGAGAAAGATTCCTTGGTATTGATTAGACCAGTGGATGTTCAACAGAAACTCGTATACCGGTTTCTTACTGAAAAACAATTACATGTGTTCAAATATCCTAATTTGAAAGAATCGAGGTAAGCATTCTACTGAAACATTCTGCTGAAGGTGCCTCAAAATCATAGCAAACCTTCTCTTGCGTTTATTTGCACATGACTGGATAGAACACATAAAACCCGTGTGATGGCGGTTATAATGAAATAAAACGGTCGACTTCATCTCTTGATAAAAGAATCTAGATAGGTTTGCGAAACTGTGTAGGAACTGTTCATAAGGAGAGTGGAAAACCTCCATACTGGATAGATCTTCGACTTCAACCTCGACCAAGCATCATTCTCATACTCGGTTTTTAGTGCTCACTCCGAAAAAGTACTTTCGAAAAGTTAGAACAAACAGGAAAAAATTTCAGTTTTTTTTGAAACTAGAACGCTTTCGAAATTTTGTACTCGTCGAGTTTTTTCAATTTTTCTTCCTTAAAAGAATTTTGAAAACTTTAATAACCGCTTTTTCTTACTCAGCTCGATGTGTTCTATTCAACCATGTATAATAAGATGAAAAATAAATTTTGCTCGAATTTTGAATTAGCGGCACGTTACTTTTCGTTTGTTATTCTTATTTCACCCGTTTTCGCTAGTTCTTCGTTTATTAAGATCATATTGATCAAAATACGTTTTCTGTATTCTCTAAATGAATAAAGTTATCTCTAAAATACTGGCATATTATTCTCTAACAAGAACATTGGTTTTTCTGCTTTTTCAGTTTTATTTCAAATTTTAGTATTTTTCTTTTTCATAAGTTCACTACTGTTATCTAAAGTTTCCAAATAATTATCGATGTCAAAACACTCGAAATCTTGCTATAATATGTAACTATAAACGTTTTATCATCTATTTAACGATGATAAAGTCATAACTCTTTCTAACCCATAGATTAATCATAACACAACTTTTCCGGTCCAATTATAGGCCAAAAAATTAGGTGGCAAGCTTCCTACTACTCTCTTGAGTGAATGTAGATGAATTGCCAAATTATAGACCGATTAATTGGATGCCAAGCTCCCTACTACTCTCTTGAGTGAATGTAGATGAATTGCCAGATTATAGACCAATAAACTGGGGGACAAGCTCCCTACTACTAATACTGTAATGCAACCCAATTCATTGAGCTCAGCATTACGACCAAATTTAAGGTCGATTGTGACTAGTTAACACAATTAAAAGGAACATTTATCTAGATGCAACATGCTGTGAAGCGGGCGCATCGCAGCATGTTGTATCTAGATTTTGGCCATGGGACGTTTTTGCTTGGGTAAGCGGGGTTGTGAATGATTTAAAAAAATGTATCTGATTTTTCTGAATAGACTTCTCTAGACTGATTGTTTAGTACGTTCCGACATGTTAGATCACATGTATGGCATTATTATGTGCTAAAAATGCCACTGCAACAGCTATCTGCAAAAATATTTCACTAAGTGTTGCTTCTTCTAGAACAAATGATTGTTCTCGAAGAAAATCATAAAGATCCCGCTCGCTGTGGAAAAGATGCTAGTAACGTAGAAATTGCTCCAAAGATCAGCGGTAATGATCGCGTCGGTCTTACGTTTATTTCTTCTGGTGGACTCTGTAAGACTGCTTTGTAAACATTTTTCCGAGTGTATTATCTGGTAATGTAGTGTGTAGCAGCGATTTTCTATACGCAGTGCGCACAGGTATACTTTTGGATAGATCCAGTAGGATAAGATGACGGAAATGTTGGATCAATGGTATTGTCAAAGCAAAACTTTGAAGTCGTTCTACTTCTCGGTATCGATCTTTTAACAGAAAAGTAACTCCTGATCCTCCATTTATGATTCTATCTTTACCTGCTTTCATCTAATTTCTGAATGTTATTTTTATACTGGTTCCTGTTTTCAACGTTAATATTATGACGACTAATCGTAGGATAGACATCTAAATTTACGTGAATGGTATGTCGGTTACGGGTATCGTTGTGGTCAATTTTTGATTTTTCTTTCTAGTATACGACTGACTGGACAAAAGAAAAAACACGCGCGCAACTGGCGTCGGAAAAAGCAAAAAAAGATGAGATAAATAGAATGTATAGACGAAAAGATATGTTCGATGAAGAGGGAGCATGCTGCCGAAACTGATCGTATTCGAAAATGGCAGAAGATGGTCAAGCTTATGTGGAGAATCGTCCTGGCTGCCACTGGTATAAATATTAAATCTGAACCAATCGACGTTGTTGTCCTATACTAGTGGTCTTCTTGAAGGTAAGAATGATAAAGAATAAAGAAACACAAAAATTTTATTGGTAAATATTATACATGCGTTTCAAAAAATTTTTTTTTCTGAACGTCAGTAACGGTTTAGAGAATAATAAAACAACAACTCTTATTTCTTTTATGTATATGCATGTCGTTCATGGTAAATTAAATATACCGTGGTTTTGTTTTGTCATTTTGTCTTTATTAGTGCCATCTTAAAATGCACTACTGCCATTAGTCCTGTGGTTCCTTCTAACATCAGGCGTGTTAAATCTTTTCTGGTACAATATTGTTGTTGCTTCTCGATTCGTGTAAAGAACTGTTTGGCGTTTTTTCATTCGTCCGTACAGTCTTTGGAGCCGTCCATATAGAACTACCTGTTGTATTCTAAGTGTTTCATGCGGAAGGCTTTTCATTTTCTGAAAGATAACATGAGATAGTGAATGCAAAAAGCTCTGTATTTTATCGTATTTTTAGCGTCTTCGGATGAAGATGTGTTCTTGAAATGCTAAAAAAAAGGGGTTTTTATTGACTATTTATTCCTTAATCTTTAGTCCTTAATCTTTCAGTCTTTCTTGTAAAAACTGTACATTCTGTCCTACTAGCTTAAATAAGATGTAACTCGATATTTCTTAATTTTTCAGCGTTACATTGATAATTTCTTTTGGTGGTCTTTTCTTCATTAGATATTCCGTTAGTGAGGGTGCAAGACGGAAAGCATAGATAGATTTTACATATTGTAGGGGTGTGTCCTTAAAGTATTTGCATATAATTGATGAAAACAGCGGCTGAACCTCTCTGTAAAGCTGGTATACGTAAAATGGGTTAAGACATCAGCAGAATGGTTGATCTTTGTTCTTTTGTTGCTTTGCAACGATCCTTGGATCCTAAGATTTTTAGACATGTTTTTGTAATTTGTAACATTTAGTTCAAGATTTGTAATTGTAATGTTTTTGTAATTCAAATCACTGTTCGTATTTATGCCGGGAAAATTTTTGTTTTCCATAAATATATTTTCTTAGTCATTTTTCAAGAAATTAGGAAACATTTTAAATTCCGGGATACTGAAGACAAATCTTTATCTACTCATGTAGAAACTTTCTGAAAATTATCTTTCAGTAATGGTTTGGATTAATAAACTCAAAGTTTTGAGTATAATCAGTAAGCTTTTATTTAAGCAGAAAGTAAAAAAATATCGAAGCCAAGATGTTTAACAGATATACATTGATATCCAATATATCTGTAATCCTTAAAGAAAATCTTTTAAAAATCTAGGTCTTTCATCGAAAACCTTCTCAAAATTCTAGGAAAGAAAACTTTTTCTCAACCAAAATATAGTTTATATATAGAAAATGTCATACTTCTGCTGATAATGGTGTCAATATAAAGCAAACTGGTAAAGTCTACGAATGGCTTCAGATTTATCACCAAGTGATCCATCTGATCACTCTAATTTCTTTCTAATGTAACAAAATAGAAGACGGATAGATGATATTGAAATAGTGTTTGCACGAATGAGTTAGGGATGGGGATTTCATCAACAAACTTTAAAAATTAATACGTTTATGAGTTTTTTTCGAAAAACCAACGTTGCCACGAACTACGGCTTGGTCGATTATCTATCTTTCCATTTATTTTCGTAATTATCACACCCAAGGAAATCCGATGCTGCGCCTAAGCCACGAAAGATTAAAAGGTCGCTTAGTTTCGCTTTTGTGAGCAATTTTATGCAAATTTAATCTAACTTTGAAAGTTTATTTACTTTTATTCGATTTCCTCTGCCATGGAACTAATTCAAGAAAAAGTCAGTAGTGATTTTGATAACCCAACTGTGAGCTTTAATTTAGTAATTAAGCAATCGTTTTAAAATTAATTTAAGGCTGAATAATTTACATTTTATCGGAATACCCCGAAAAACAGTTCCATTTTTTGAAATTCCGTAACGGCCTCTATTTTGACTATAACTTTTGATCCGCTTGCTCAATCAAGCTCAAATTATTTTTGATAGTAGAACTTCCTAATATCCATCATTGGCATAAATTTCATTGATAAACGTTGCTTCTTTGCCGAGATGAGGGGCACAGAAGACGAAAAAATGAAATTCCGTAACATTTGGCCAAACCGTTTGAGCTATCTATCCATATGAACAAGCTAATATATTTCTATGTTCAATTCTGCATTATGAAATGGTTTCCAAAGATTCCTTAGAAAATCGGTTGTTGAAAAATACCTTCAAAAGCTTTTTCGCTTATAAAAATATGCTTTAAAGTCTTGGCTGTCGAATGGCGAAAACCACGTATCTTCATCTCGTTTCTATCTCTGGTTATTCGATAAATAATCTGAGGCGTACGTTTTGAAAATTATAATAGTATAGTAAGTCCAGTACCAGAACGAAATATCGTACAGAACTGACCGACGTCTGGTTTTGTAGGAAAATATTTGCTCTACGTTTCTGATGACTAAAAAGAAATTCTATCTATCCATACCTTTGAAACTCATACCAAAATCTAGAAAAATTTTTGAAAAAAAAAAACAAAAAGATTTGAGGATGGAAAACTCCTCCGCCTATGCGTATCTCAAATATTTGATTTAGAAGTACATTATTCTCGTGTTTAAAAACGTTTTTTCTCCATTCGGTTAGAAACGACGATGACATATGCACGAATTTGCCAGGAAGTGAAAAGAAAGGCTGATGTCTTATTTATTACATCCCTAATGATGATTAACCCTCATTTCACCACCTGGGGTCCGAGCGGACCCCAGATCGAATATTATGCTTCTCTTTCCTCAACAGTAATAGATCAACCTCTCATCTTCTAGATATGCACTAACGAAAGTCAGACGGATATATCGATTATATCATTGCCTTCGGTTCTGACATCGTCAAGATGATAAAAGAGCTAGAAGTACGCACCAACGTGTTTTCATCATTTGGGGTCCACTCGGACCCCAAATGAGAGAGAACTAATTACACATTTTTATTGTTAAGATATCGTCTCAATTCAGTATTTCATGCATTCGGCCAGCTCTAGAGAATATTCTAGAAGGTTCTATCTTATGTTATAAGTTTCTGAAATTGAATTGAACTTGACCTTTGTGTCATTCATTATATTAGAATGTTTTGGAATATTCCCTATCATTATAGAATGTATAGTTGAACTATATAAGGGCAGTTGAAATTGCCGAATAATTTTCAATTTGAGTCCAAACTAGTCTTACACATTTTCAACATCAACATAACAATTCTCAACATAATCCTTATTGCATTGAACAAGTTGAGAATTCGAGCAATGGGTTCAAAGAGAAGCTTTAATGATTATTACGACGAAAGCTCAGATGAAGATCGTTCAGTTCTCGACGATAATTCTGGCGACGATAACACTGATGAAGAAAATTCAGAACTGCCGGACGGACTGGAAGACGGCTCGGAGGATTCTGAAACCGGTGCAACAGATGAAGATGATTGGCAAGAAGAAACTGATGTCAGTTCGGTGGAAAGCGAAAGCGACAGTGATCAAGAACCGCCAAGACGTCGTTCGAAGCTCGATCAGCGATCAGAGTCGAAAGTATTTTTGTCAAAATCTGGTCGACGGTGGGGTAAATCCGAACCTCCGAAACGAAAAATACCACAAGCAAATATTCTGCGACAGTTACATGGTGTTGGGCCCTCAGCAGCAAGGATGCAAACAGTGAAAGATGCTTTTCAACTCTTATTTACAGAAGAAATGATACTTATCGTCGTCGAAACTAATAGAAGCGCAAGGAAGGCTGCTGAAGCATTGAATGAACAGAATCCTGACAAGAAATGGCAATGGAAGGATACTGATAGTGAGGAAATTTGGGCGTTTATTGGATTATTGATTCTTGCAGGCGTTCAAAGATCTCAAAACGAGAATCTCAACGAATTATGGTCCATGAATAGTGGCCGATCAATATTTCGAGCGACAATGTCAAAGAATCGCATGGATAGTCTACTAAAATTCCGATTCGACGATGCGGCTACACGAGATACACGAATGGAAGTAGACAAGCTGGCTCCATTTAGTGAATTTTGGGCAATGTTTTTAGCACGACTACAGATATGCTACATTCCAGGTGGTTCAATGGCAGTCGATGAATAACTTATAGCTACTCGTGGCCGTTGTAGATTTCGTCAGTACATGCGCAATAAGCCTGCGAAATATGGAATAAAGGTATTCTGGTGTTGTGACTCAAACATTTCATATCCGTTGAAAGGTGAAGTTTATGTTGGACGTCAATCTGGAACGGCCACCCTCGCGAACAAGAATGGCGTCAAAAAGCTAGTCAAAAGATTAGTCACACCCTGGATCAACAAAGGTCGAAGCGTCACTGCGGATAATTACTTTACAAGGGCTGAACTTGCCGAAGATTTACTTGGAGTTCAAACTGCTTTAGCCGGGAAAATTCGGAAAAACAAACCCGAAATTCCTCGAGAACTGCAACCCAATCGTCAACGTCCGGAAAACTCATCGATATTCTGCTTTGATGGGCTGCTCACACTAGTGAGCTATGTGCCGAAGAAGTATAAAGCGGTGATTCTTCTTTCATCAATGCACCACGAAACGATAGTCAGTGAAGAAACACACAAAAAGCCGGAAATAATTCTGTATTACAACGAGACAAAAGGTGGTGTTGATCGTATGGATCAAATGGCTCAAACTTATTCTTGTAAACGAAAAATCAATCGGTGGCTTATGTTCTATGGATGACTAAAAATACTCAATGGAACGACACCAAACCATACCGTCGACGATTGTTCCTTCAACAACTTGGCCGCAGCCTTGTTGATCCACATTTGAATCAACGTTGTCAGAATCCGTATGCAGTTCAGCGAAACGTTCGACTGGCTATGCAGATCCTAGGACTTTCAATCACTAGTCCAATAACCACTCGAATTGGAGTGAGTGGAAAGCAACGTTGTCATCTTTGCTCGAGAGTGCGCGATAGAAAAGTTGCTACGCGATGTTCTACTTGTCATTTTCCTTGTTGTCCTGATCATCATAAAATAATTTGTAATTCTTGTTTCTAATCGTTTGATAGAGATAAGACAAAATAAGATGAAATAAAAAAGTCACGAGATTATAGTACGGAAAGATGGTGTTCTCTGGAATCTATTTCAAATAATCTTCTACAAATATTACTCATATTTACTGTACAGATTGATGAAAAATTTTTCTCTTTATACTTGAAAATCGAGCTGGGGTCCGTACGGACCCCACTCGAGTAAAAGTTTAGTAGTCAATAGGTGGTGAAATGAGGGTTAAAAGAGCGAAAAACAATAACTGCAACGATAGACTACAAAAACAGATCGTCGGTTAGCAATGTCTCAAGAGTAAAACGGAATAGTTCAGTGTTGTGTTGACAAATACTTCTATGGTAACATCGCAGACATAAGGAAACGAAGTTTGCTCTACCATCCAACATAAATAGCTAGTTCGAATGTTTTCATTGTCCATTACTTCGATAGGTCTCGTTTGGATTAAACCAACATTTATAGGTAGGTTCCGCTTAAAATCAATATTATAATGAATCCAACTTTAACTCTCTCTCTCTCTCTGCACTACTACTTGCAGTATATTTTCTTTGTTCCTCTGCTGCGCGATCAACTGCGTAATATTCAGTTCGAAGTCATACATAAATAGCATCGTGAAAGAGTAAGTTCTGACAGTTTTCCTAAATCGTGTGGAGCGGTATAATTTTGGTCTATTATTCATTTCATCGTCTGTCCTAAGATGGGCAAGTGAAGTCATTTTTACTTGACTGGAGAAATAATTCTATGACTCACGACGTGACTTAGTGCACGAAAAGTTTTAAACGTCTTGGTTCAATTTGTGAGTTCCGCTTCTAAATCAAATCATTAAATTATCAGTAAAAATGAAAAAACTTGAAAAAATATCCGTATGAGTTCGTGTTCGCTCTATGAAATATATTATTTTTTTTAAAAAATTTTACATTCACGATCCCGTTTGTGTGTATGAATAAAATAATCATCCTGCATTGTTTGTGCTGAGTAGAATTATACTTCTGATTTTTGTATATTTCGTACAGTAGAAATCAACAAATGCTTTCAGACAATGGTGACTTACATTTTTCATATAAAAAAGCATAAAAGCAGAACTCTCGGTGATGAATGAAATCGTTTTAACAATCCGAGGCACGTTTGCATGATTTAATAACAAGAGAAAATGACTAATCAATTTATCGTTTGCTGCATTCTGCTGAAAAGAAAATATTAGTCATGGACAGTAAAAAAACAATAAATGAGAAGATATGAGATTTCTTTATCTACTTCAAAAAGGAAGTA